CTAGCTGCAGCAGAAGGTGAAGGGGCAAAAGAAAGCTTCGTGCTTCTTAAGATCTCTCTCATATATAATTGATACCTTGGATTCCACACCTACTTTCACTCAGGAGTGTCCAATTGACATGAACTCTAACCATTACAGTAGAAGAGTCTGGAAACTTCTGAGCACTGTGCTTGGCACAGACTAAGCATTTAGTGAGTGGCTCTCTTTCTGTTTCTCTTCCTCCTTTCTCTTTCTGATCATTATTATTCTAGTTAACATTGTCTCAGGGCCTTCCAATTATATTTAAGATCATAAATCATTCTCATTTTTTTGAAACTATTGAATTCCATCACATTATTATACCTTACTGCTCTATACATTGACCTTTCTTAGCTGTTAATTCCCCCATAGGACACTGATATTTTACAGGAGTCTATCTTTGATTCTCATTATTTATGATCTCCATGGGTAAATTGCTACATGTTCATGTTTTTAGTTGCCACCTACATTCAAATAAGTTCCATTTTTTAAACTCAAATTTAGACCTACCTCTAAACAATGTTTGTTTGCTTGTTTTTGTCTCTTGAATGAATCTTTTTATTTAATGGCACCTGGCACCTAGGAGATGTTCAATGGCTGTGTGTTAGGCCAGGTTAACTAGAGAAACAAATCCAGTGACACTCAGATATATGTAAAAAAGAGCTTATATCAAGAAGTAATTGTATATCAGGAAAACATCCCAATGCAGTCCAACTCAAGTCCAAAAGTCTGATATCAGTTTATAAGTTCCTCTTCAGACTTAAGAAGCTACCTGCAATGATGCAGAATGCAGGAAGATCCTATGGATCCAATGGCAGTGGGTGCATCTCCAGAGCTCAGGCAGCAACCAGGGTCAACCAGCAGGAAGGTGAACGCAGAGAGGGGCTGGGAGGTTCCCAGGACATACCTTATGAGAGGACCATGTCCACAAGGAGGCACCATCAACCTATGCTCTGATTGACAGGTTAGACTCTATCTCACCGCCACCCCCCAGCTCCACCTGCCGTGCCACAAACACACACTTTTACATATCTTCAAGCTGACATGAAATCATGTAACTACCACAAGCTGGTCAAGTACTCAAAAGCCCCATCCAGCTTTCATACATTGTACTGAAGCCTGGCAGGCAGTAGCCTTGACTTCAAGCACAGGTGTGTGTGTTCATGTGTACCTACATCCAGGTATATGTGCGTGGGGGTGTTCTTTCTTTGATTGGAGATGGAGCATGTTTGGGAAGGAAGGCCTTGGGCATGACTCAAAGCCAAACCAAACTCACTGCCATCAAGTTGATTCCAACCCCTGGGGACCCTACAGGACAGGGTAGAACTGCTCTGGTGGTTCAGAGACTATGTCTCTTTATGGGAGTAGAAAGCCTCATTGTTCTCCAGGGTAGCCATTGGTGGTTTTGAACTGGTGACCTTGCAGTTAGCAGCCCAATGGACGGCCACTATGCTACCAGGCCAGCTAGAAAGAAAGAAAAGAATGAACAACATGGAGGAGGAACCAGTGCTAGTTCAGGTCCTCGGCATTATCTGGCAAACATCATGGCAGGGATAAAATGGAAATTTAAAAGCCTCAGAGACTAAAGTGAAAGTTCATTTCCAATTTTCAATGCAAATAGCTTACATGCTTAGCTTTCCACTTGCCATAAACGGGAAACATGACTGTTGGCACATAAAAATACCACCTCCCTAAATCTGATATAGGACAAAAATAGAAGTGTTCCTATTCTGGATTTAGACCAATCTACGTTCAACTTTTGGCTCCTATTGCTCACTGTATGGCTTTGCTCAATTTATTTAACTTTTCTGAACCTCAATTATCTGCCAAATGGTGACAACATTTGCCTCGATGAATTATTCATTCATTCATTCAGCATTAATTGTGGGCCTCATAGGTCTCTGGCACCAAGCTATGCAGGAAAGTGGCCAGATGGCTCAGACCTCTACTTGCACTCACGTACCGCAGAACAGAAGAAGAAAGTCGCGCACACGTGAGATAGAGGTGCTACACTGGCTCTTATGCACGAGAGAGGGAAAGGCTCAGGGACTGGGCACAGAGTCCTGGTGTGGAAAATCACGGAGATGATGGGATCGTTCAGTGAGATAAGCAGGGAGGTTCAGGCTGAGGATGGAGAGAATATAAGCTGAGTCCTGCCGATACCGAATATGAGATGCTTGTGGACATGGACACCCCTGGTAGGTGGACAGGGGCATGCATCTTGAGTCTGGAAGAAACTCTAGGCTTAGAAATACATTTTTTGGAATCTTGAAAGAAAACAAAAACTCATTCTGAAAAGGATAATGAAAACAATTATAATGATAATAACAATAATGACACCATCTACACAAAGTGTAGCAAGACCTCAAAATGAGTCATTAAGCAGGACAGATTGTGGAGAGTAAAGGAATATAGAAACCCAAAGAAGTGAGAGGGTCAAGAGTTTTGAAGACTCCACAATACGAAGATGATGGTAGAATAAATGAAATGGATTCACAGTAAGTTCTTGGTGACTTAGGCAGAAGCAGTTTTAAGAATACTTTGTTCTATTAAACTGGCATTCCATGATGCTCACCTTCCCGACACAATTGGGTGAATAAGTAAATGTGATGAAGAAAGCTGAGGGTGCATGGCTATCAAAAGATATAGCATCTGGGGTCTTAAAGGCTTGAAAGTAAGCAAGCGGCTATCTGGCTCAGATAGCTAGATGGCCGCCTACATGGAAGAAGTACACCAGCCTGTGCAATCATGAGCTGTCGAAGGGTTCAGGGATAAGGCATCATCAGAACAAAAAATCATACCACTGTGAATGAGGGGGTAGTGCTGAGTGGAGACCCAAAGCCCATTTGTAGGCCACTGGGCATCCTCTTACAGAACGGTATCCAGGAAGAGACGAGCCAGTCAGTGTGCAATGTAGCAATGATGAAACATACAACTTTCCTCTAGTTCCTAAATGCTTCCTCCTCCCCCACTATCAAAACCCCAATTCTACCTTACAAATCTGGCTAGACTAGAGGATGTACACGGGTCCAGATAAAAACTGGAAACACAGGGAATCCAGGGCGGATGATCCCTGCAGGACCAGTGGTGTGAGTGGCGATACTGGGATGGTGAGTTGGAAAGGGGAACCGATTACAAGGATCTACATGTGACCTCCTCCCTGGGGGACAGACAACAGAAAAGTGGGTGAAGGGAGATCTCAGCTGGTGCAATATATGACAAAATAATAATTTATAAATTATCAAAGGTTCATGAGGGAGAGGGTAGCGGGGCAGGAGGGGAAAAAATGATGTTCAGAGCCTTGGATGGGGATAAAGACCATCAGTTTTCAGTGACGATAACCCGTGTCACTGTTCTTTTCGGCACCCATGTGCCGTCAGTGTTGGTCCTGAGAAGATGGGGAGTGGATTGATCCAGGACTTTAATGTCTTCAGGGGAGCAGGTGAAGCTGCGGGGTGCAGTGAAAGTTGAAGGGTTAAGAGATAAGGTCTCAATACAACTAAGTTAGTGGATTGGTTAACCCTATGATGCCAAGCAACATTTAATTAAAAGGTATGTAATAATATGTATATTGATAAATATGAAAGTAAAGCATAAAAACAAAATTTTTCCCCCTGAAATTAAAAATTCAGGGGTTATTTAAAGTTGTGAGAGGAACTGAGGAAAGGCTGAAAGGATTTAGGAGGCAGTGATCAGAGACAGAGAGATCTGCTTTCAAGCCCTCAGTGCTGAAGCACATCTGTGCAACTGTTCTAGGAAATAATGAGATTTAAAGTGAGGTCATTGGAGTGGGGAGCTGAACTAGGGTAGAAGGAAGCTTGAAGACACAGGGGCACCGAGGGAACTGGAAAAATAACGCTTTGGAGAACAATCCTGAGATTTGGGATTTAAAATTTCCAGAGAGAAGAGATTGTTCAGGAAGCTACAAAGCTCTTGTGATAAAGTCAACATTTACCATCAATCAAATCTATGGTTGAAAGAGAATAAGAGTATGAAGAACTCTTGTCTTGACCCTTTGGTACCTTTGGAATGTGCCTCTCTTCCCAGCGTTCATTGCATTGCTGTGTGACATCAGATCTTTTCCAGGGTCTCTGATCACACTGGCAATGGGGCCATCCCAGACTCCTATTATTTTTAATCAACAAATGGCACCTTCCGCTGAGCCTCCACGTGGTTGGAGAACCAAAATTCCGAGATTGCTTGGGACAAAGAGGCCCCAGTAGCTTACTTACTTAAGGCTATGTTGGTCAATTTGAAGGTTGGGAGCTAGCACGCGTGTGGCCACTGAAACCTGTTTCAGCACTTGTTCCTGGAGACCCGGGGGCAGCGGAGCATTAGCTGGAGCATTGAAGACTTCAAAAAGGGTGGCGTTGTCGGTTTCCACTCTGAAGGTGCACAGGCAGGAGTCGTGTTTATGTGTGTTTATATGTGCAAGTCCAGAGTCTGAGCTGACAGCCCCCTCGGCCACCCCACAAATGGAGCACAGTTTAAAGTTCAAGTAACAACTAGATGGTGACTGTTTGTCTCTGACCAACACTCAGCACAAGAAAAGGTTGCACTTTTTCTGAAAGGCAGCAAATGTGGACAAATATTAGCTCTTGGAAATAAAGGGGAAGTTATTCATTCACTCAGCAGCATTTTCCAAGCCATCAATCTTCCAGGGATTTCTATTGCTTTAATCATCAAGGTTGTTTATTTGGAGCAATTTCTGAGAGAATAAAAGTACCTTTGGCCTTTATCTGCCGTCATCAAAGCATGCATTTCGGGACTGCGGCCCTGTGGGGAGGCTCAAGGGATTATTCAGAGAGGTTTTCTGAAACGCACAGGAATTCTGCTCCCTGCCCCCCCCCTTCTTCCCTGGTGTGGCAGTTCAGTTTAAACTGTAATCTGAAAGGGTGGGTTTATCTTCAAGTTTATGCCATTTGAACAGGATTTTGTTCAAGGTCCACTTGCAGATAAAGCATTCTACGTCTCTGGAACAAAGGCCGGCTGCCTGGAGAGATGGCATTGTGCTGACCATCTCTGAGCCTCGGACTTCCTCAGCGGCTCCTCTTCTGGGTGGAGGGCAGCGGAGAGCAGCAGGTAAGAGGCTGACTTCCCTCCCCAGACTGCTGGAAGGTGACTATTTGCTCAGCTTGGTAAACCGGAAGTGGGGTGAGAAAGACTGAAACATAGGTGGGCTCTGTGGGAACACACACACACACACACACACACACACTTTGCGCCCTAACTGCAAAATGCTTGCTGGGTGGCTTCAACCTCTAGTCTCTCTGAGCTTCAGCTCTACCCAGAAAGATCCTCCTCTCTCCCACTCTGCGGCTCCTGGTTCCTTATTTTCCTCCATCCTCCCATGCACATCTCTCTCATTCAGACCTCTCAGAGCAGCCCCTGCTCAACCCACACGCAGACTTCAAAAAGACAAAAGGCCCCAATGTTCCCTGGGTGCCCTTGGCGATCTCCATTCTCTAGTACCTTAACAATTGGCTCCTGGGGAGGGAGGGTTAGGAAACACTTGCTGATGGGAAAAGCGTGTGGGAGCCGGTGTTCCGTTTTTCATCCTGACTCTTGTGAGGACAGCTCCGCTCTTGCTACCTCCCGAGGCTTCTTGTCTCTCAGCATTTTGCTTGTGTCAGCGGTGTGTGTGCAATGCTCATGGAAAAGCCGAATCAGCAGTGCTATTCACAGGAGTGCGCCTGTGCGCGCCCACACAGCACACACAATACATTCACATCTACAAACACACACACTTCAGAGACGTCTACCTATTTTCATCCATCCGTCATATGCACACATACACACACACAGCACACACAATACATTCACATCTACAAACACACACACCTCAGAGACATCCGACTGTTCTCATCCATGCATCTATCTATCTATACACACCTCGGAGACATCTACAAACACACAGCTACACCACCCACCGAATCTCACACACACACACACACACACACACACACACACACACACACACACACAGAAGCTATATATCAGCACCAGATAATGTACATAAATTGGGACACTCAGGCAGGCCCTACTTTTATCATGTACTCTTTACCCCCCAAACAGGCATATCAAGTGCACATACCTGCTCCCACTCAAATATGTAAACTCCTGTAAAGACCCTGAGCCAGCTCGAGCCAGAGGTATGTCTGGAACAGGTCTGACCTGGAAGGGAGAAGGGGCAAGTTCAGGCAGGAAAACAGCCCGTATTCGCCGTGGCGGTGCTCCAGACCCTGGAGACCAGAGAACATCTGAGCAGCAGGTCCCGGGTCAGAAGGGGCGCCTTCCTTCTGTGATCAGTAAGGGTGCTGAGATAAGGAAGCATCGGGCCCAGTGGAAAGAGTGGGCTTGGGACCAGGAACTGAACCTGAGCTCAGACCTTGTCCTTGGCTTTCTTGTAACCTTGAGCAAGACTTCCCCTCCTCTGAGCCTCAAATTCCCTATATGTGCTAATGTGTAAAGGAAATGAAGAGAATGGAGAGAGGGTGTGATGACATGGAAGCTTTTTATAAAGGTGAGAGATCATGGCTCTCTCTCTTATTTCTCTGACTACTTCCTGGCAGAAGAGGCTCTTTCCACTTCTGTTTTCGACAGAGTCTTGGCTTCTTTTAGGGATGGGGGCAGTACTGTCAGAATAATCGATCATTCTGCATATAGGGCTAGGGAGAAGGCAGAAGGGAGAGGGATGGAGAGAAAGTACGGTGGCAGTGCCCAGAAGCCAGCGGAGATCAGGCTGAGTGCCCTGTGGCGCTGGCAGCTGGCAAGCCCTCCGCCTCTTCCTGATGAAGCATCGCCCCAAGGGCAGCAGCCCGCACTGTCTGACTCTACATGGTTGCAGGGCTTGGGTGAGCTGGTTTTGCCTTTCGCATTGCAGGCACAATATTAGTACATTTTAAGAAGCTAATGATTGCCCAACAACGACATAAATAAAGAAAGGTATCTAGAAAATCCAGGTGATTATCTCACACTCAAAAGAAGCACCTGGTCCTACTGGAAGGCTTCCCTGAGTCCTTGGCTTCGCAGTGTGCCCCACCCATGCCATGGTGGCTGGAGTGCTTCCCTACCATCGCATGGATCCTGCCTGATTTATATCTGCCCATTTTACCCGCCAGATTCTGAGAGCTCAAACCCAGTATGTACGAAGTAACTACTAACCGAATCATTTAACGGAATTGTTTTCTCTTGTCTGCAGGGAACCTGGTGGGTGAAGGTGCCACAAGAGAGTTAAACAGCTAATGCTAATTGTCACGAGAGAGACCCGCAGAGGCACAGAGATCAGAGGAAGGAAGGTATGCCTTCTTTGTAACATAACGAGTCTTTTAGAAGCAGCAGCACTTGGGATAGGTCTTCCTGGGTGGTTAGCTATTTTGCTTTCTATCTTCCACCATGGTGGGTTATGGCTACCTCGTCTGTGAACGTTCAGACCTTGTCACGGTAGTATGTGGAAACCTGGAGGCCAGCCTCTTAGGAGGGGGTACCCAAAATAGACCGAAATTGTTTTTCAAAGCTGTGTGTTTAAATTTTGGGTGCTTTTTTTTTTTTTTTTTTTTTACAAAACAACCTTATCACTTCACAGTACTCTCCATTGTCAAATCTGAAATTCCATTCTTGGAAACATTTTTTCAAATTCATCTGTTTGGATGGCTGATAGCACCTCCCTCGTTTTTTGGGTGTGTATGTGTATTTGTTTCCTTCACCTCTTCTATGTCATCAAATTGCTGTCCTTTCATGTCCCTCTTCATTCACAGAAACAAAAAGAAGTCTCGCAGAGTGAGGTCAGGTGAGTCAGGTGCATGGGCAAGAGAGGCATGTTGTTTTTTGCCAAAAACTGGTGCACTGAGGTGGCTGCCTGAGCAGGTGCATTGTTGTGGTGGCAAAACCAGTCCCCCGTCTACCACAAATCAGGCCTTTTCTTCTTGCACGCTGTTATGCAATCTTTTCAGAACCTCTAAATATAAAGCTGGATTAACAGTCTGATTGCGTGGAATGAGCTCCAAATGTACTGAGTCAGCATTTTCATCTGTGTGGAAAGCTGATGGACATCCAGAATGAGATTTGTCATCCATCAACCTTTCACCTGTTTTGAAACTTGAAAACCACTCATACATTTGAGTTTTTCCCATAGCGCTTTCCTTGGAAGCTGTGTTCAACATCACAACAGATCGACCATCACCAGAAAATGAGGTTCCAGTGAAACTGCTTTCACGAAAAATTTCACTGTGACTAGAGAACTCTCCCAGGAGCTGCCACTGGGTGCACTAACTCAGAGCAAGTTGCTTGATGCTCACCTAGCAGGGGGTGGGGGGTGGACTACTAAAACTCCACCCAGCAGCGGAGCTTTTTCCTGGGTTTCTCTGGGAACCCCTCGTACATTCACTTGGACTCACTCCATTTTCCCCTCCTCACATAAGCCTAAACCAAACTAGACGGAGTGTGTTTCTTTTTGTGGATGCTTTCCACTAATAAGAGTGAATAAAGGAATTTCTGGGTGGTGGAAAAAGTTAATCACATGACTACAAACCAAAAGGTTGTCAGTTCAAGACCACCCAGAGGTGCCACAGAAGAAAGGTCTAGCAATTTGCACCCCAAAAGCCACAGCCATGAAAGCAATTGTGCGCTGTAACCCACAGGGTCACCATGAATTGGAATTGACTTGCTGGTCACTGAAAGGCCTGGACTGGAGAGTGGATAGACTGCCTCTTGGAATGCCACACTCAACCACACATAGCTGTTTTGCCACCGTCATCAAGAAAACCAAATCACTGGTGGAAGGGCCAGCACGCCACGCCTACGAGGAAGCAAACCTCATAGGGGAAAAAAAAGGGGCAGTTGGTCTAGACCTCATATGGACACAAGCCTGGAGGACGATGTCCCTGCATGGAGCTGCTAAGGCACAGAGAGGACTGTAGGGCCAACAACAGCTCATGACATGTTGTCCCCTTACTGGATCATTCTGTGACAGAGGACAATACTGGGGACACACAGTGGGGAGCTAGTGTGGTCTGAACCCCCCACAGCAGGGCAAACCAAGAAGGAACAGAACAGATCAGCAACTGGAGCAAAGCCAAGCCACAAAGCCCCTAAAAAAGCCCCTGAAATAGACTTCAGGCTAGGAGCGGCAGCTCCCGGAATTCCCCCAGGACCATGGGGAGATAGTCATAAAGGTCAGTGGACAGACCTGGAATTCTGTGCTTTTCTCTTCCTTTCGTTTTTCAATCTTTTGTTTTCTTTTTGTTTGGTCTCTGTCATTGTCGGGTTGCCTACTTACAGAAGACAGGCATGGGAAGCAAGCTTGAGGAAAAAGCAAGGGGACCAACGGTCCCGGAGGGATTTGGGGGGAAGGGTGCAGCAAGCAAACAATGCCACAGACAGGGGACCAACTAAGGAGTTGAAATCAATAACAAGCAGAATGTAGAGTTCCTGGGGGTCTTGGAGCAACAGCAATCTAGCAGAGAGGAAGTTCTGAGAGGGAGAAGAAGGGGGAACATGATGGTGGGGCAGGAGAAAGGTAAAAGGAAACAGATCTAGGAAGCAAAGCTATGGATAGACGTATAAGCATAGGTTTATACATTTGTAAATACATTAATCCATAAAAGTAGAAGTATTGGCCTATGTATATATATTTATATGGCAGTACACTGAGTTAGTGGACGGACTTCAGGTCTCTGCTCAAATGCTCCCTCAATACAAGAACACTGTGTTCTAACAAACTGGTATTCTGTGATGCTCACCCTCTCAGCACAATTGCTGGAGACAAAATAGTTGCATAAGCAAATGTGGTGAAGAATGCGGATGGTGCCCATCTATTAAAAGATATACCATCTGGGGTCTTAAAGGCTTGAAGTTAAATAAGCAGCCATCCAGCAGAGAAGCAACATGGAAGAAGCCCACCAGCCAGTGAGATCATGAGGTGTCATCGGGACCAGGTAACAGGCATAAGAAGACTCATAACAAACAAACAAAAACATATTGTTGGTAATGAGGGGGGTTGAAGCAGAGACCGAAAGCCCGTCGGTAGACAATGGAACATTCCCCCACAGAGGGGTCACAGAGAAGGGATGAACCAAGCAGGGCGCAGTAAAACACTGATGAAACACACAGAATTCCTCTGGCTCCTTGAGGCTCCCTCACCTCCCACTATCATGGCTCCAGTGCAGCTTCTCACTTCAGACTAGACTGGAGCATGTACACAGATACAGATAAGCGATAAGTGCTCACAAGCATGGAATCCAGCATCAGAAATGGGAATAGTGATACCAGAAGGGTATCTTTTTCACTATGCTTCTACTTTTTCAAACTTGAAGTCTTTTTTCAGGGACTAGTCTTTCCAAACTGCCCCACAGGGTTTCTGAGGTTGTCATTCTTTAAGAAAGCAGACTACCTTCTATTTCTCCCACAGAATGGCTAGGGGATTCAGACGACTGGTCGAGTGGTTAATTGTCCAATGCTTAACTCAGTGCACCCCCAGGCATCCCTATAGGATTTTCCATGGTTATATGGTACTTATGGAAGTAGGCCACCACATCTTCCTCCCACTGAGTACAAATTACTGACCTTTTAGCGATTAGGTAAGTGATTCACCACGGGGCCATCCATTCTATGGGTCGGTCTTTCTCTAGACTGTGGGATCCATGTGGCCAGTCACCTCATAATCTCCATCTCTCTTCCTTGGTCCTAAGCATCAGGCCTGGCACAGAGTAGAGAGTTGGTCCCCCCAAATTTGTGTCCGATGGCTTGAAGGAGGGAATGAGATGTTGTGGAGGAGGATGGAGGCAGTTCTACCGGTGAGGTGTTGCTGTCAACATCTAGTCATTTTACAATGGACGGAAGAGAGGCACAGCTTAGAGACTGTCCCAGCGGCTCCTTACCTTCATTATATCACTGGTGTCAAACAAGATTCATTTATCACATAGTACATAACATATCGACACATAATATATAGACATGTTACTATAAAATATTCATACGTACACATTCCAGGTGTCAAATTGTTTTCCGATGCCCATATCTTGAGGCTTCTTAGAAACATGACTGACCAACATGTGTCCCTTGTTTCCAGATGCTTGGGCCAGACATCCGATTGACACGTGGAACAGTGTCACAGAACCCAGAGGACAGATGAAAGCATCAGATGCTCTCCTGAGAACTCCAGGGGGCCAACATCACGCTCTGCATCACTCGTATTTGACCCAAAGTGGGCCTGTGCTCTATCAGAACATTGTCTCAGTCCTCTAGCCCAGCAACTCACTGGGCAACTCTGTTTTCTGACAATGTACTTGGCATGGCTGGGAAGCTGCTCCCTTTATCTACTTTAAATCTTTCTTCCTGTCATTCCTGGCCATTTCCTTTTCTTCTTTCTTCACTGAGGCTGGAAGAGCAGGTCCTGACCTGTCTTATACTTAATCTTGGCCCAGCAGTAGCCAAGAGCCATAGAGATAAGAGCCAGCTCTTCAAAGCTGCTCAGATCCCCTGATAATTCCACAGAGGATTTTCCTAGCACTTACTGGGAAGAGGGCTTGGGAAAGCTGGCAGCTTATCAAGTGGAGGGGCTATTACAGGGACTAGACATGGGTGAGACATAACAAGTGCACTGCTTCAGGGGATAAAAGGTACTTCAGAGTGATGCCCCAGCTACTGACACTGCCGGGAGCCTATAGCTATGGCGAAGGATTCATCCTCACCGAAGACTTCCTTTCGGTGGCTTTAAGAAGTTCTCCTAAGTTGACCTTCTGTTTAGCAAGAGCAGGAGAGGGAGCAGGGTGGGAAGTAAATTGAATAGATCCCTGAGGATTCACTCTGAGGACATTTCAGCCCTTGAGTATTTAACAAAGGTCCCACGGGAGTGTCAGTGGTTCCCCAGCTACTGACAATTGCAAGGGTGCTGGCTGGAACCCCCAGGGGCGCCATGCAAACTGGTTCTCAGTAAAAATAAAACCCCAATGAAGCCATCATGACCTATGGAACAGAGTAGAGTGGTTCCGTTGGGTTTTTCATGCTGTGGTCTTTAAAGAAGCCAAAGAAGGGCTTGTGGGGGTTCTAACAACTGATCTTTCTGTTCGTGGCCGAGAGAGGGGGTCACCATTGCACCATCAGGATGCCTTGACTTATGAAAATCCTACTTCACACCACATGAGGTTGTCATGAATTAGAAAGGGTGCTAAGGCACCTAGCAGCAACAGTATTTCACAAGGATTAGAGGGTTTTTCTTAAGGAGTCATTGTGGGTTGTGTTCTGGGTTGCTAGTTGCAAGGGCAGCAGTTCAAAGCCAGCAGCCACTCCATGGGAGAAAGGAAATCTTTCTGTTTCCATCAAGATTTACAGCTTCACAGTTCTCATCTGCCCTATGGGGCCGTTATGAGTCAGACTCAACTCCATGGCAGTGGTAAGCCTCATTCTCTGGTCACAGTAATTTTTTTTTGTAAAAGAAGTTTTACTTGAACCGTGTTTTTTGTTATGGCTTATTTAAGAGAACAGTGTGGCTCTGACATTTTGATTCCTGCTCAGGAAAAATGCCGCAGAAACTGTTGTGATGTTGAACGAGGCTTACAACGACAGTGCTATGGGAAAAACTCAAGTGTACAAGTGGTTTTCTCCTTTCAAAAAAAGGTGAAATGTCAATTGATGACAAACCTCATTCTGGATATACATCGACTTTCTAAACAGATGAAAATGTTGAGTCATAGTGCACTTGGAGTTCATTCCACCAGGCCAGATTGTTAACCAAGCTTTCTATTATTTAGCAGTTCTGAAAGATAGCATAACAGTGTGCAACAAAAAAGCCTGAGTTGTGGCAGATGGGGGCTTTGCCACCATGACAATGCACCTGCTCATACAGCCATCTCAGTGCGCCAGTTTTGACAAAAAACAGCATGCCTCTCTTGTCCCATGCACCCAACTTACCTGACCTCACTCTGTGGGATTTATTTTTGTTTCTGCAAATGAAGAGGGACATGAAAGAATTGCGATCTGATGACATAGCAGGGGTGATGAAAAAAACGAGGGAGGTGCTGTCAGCCATCCAAACAGATGAGTTTCCAAGACTGGAAATGCAGATTTGACAAATGTATTAAGTTTAATGGAGAACACTTTGAAGGTGATAAGGTTGCTTATAAAAAAATTTAAATACATAACTTTGGGGGGGAAATCTGGTTGATTTTAGGTACACCCTTGTATATGTCTACTACAAACTGCCGTTTATTGAAATCTTTGCCATATACAGGGACTTTCACAAATGTTATTCGACTACAATGGACACCATCAGGTTTCCAGGACTGAAACCATCTTCCTCACTTTATACCCGAGGAAATTGATAGAGATGTAGATCCAGAACTTAATGCTGATTTCCCGGATTTATGCTTTATATTTTGTAAGAAACAGAGCGGCCTTCCTAATTTGTAGAGATAGATTCAATCATGTTCTGCATGGCTTTGGTGTTGCCTGAGTTCTTGTGCATAAATATGTCCAGCACTGGAAATCCCATGACTGCTTCAGTAACAGCGCTTTATTAACAACATTCTTGGAGCAATAAGAAGCCTGGCTCTCCAGCCAAGTTAGATGGTAGGTGTTCTGTAATAGCATTGGCTTTACATGCTAGCTTTAGATGGTATGTGGCAAAAGGCATTAGCTGGATTTTTCTAAGACATCCACTTTGTCACTGTGTGAAATTCTACAACATCCATCATAGATGCGTGTCAAAGTTTTTTTTTGTTTGTCTTTCTCTTACTAAATCTCTTTCTGAAGCCAGGATAGAATCATGTTTCTGGTAACACTTATTTCCTCATCTATTTTGTCATCTAGTCACTCATCCACCCAAAAACATCCCTGCACAGACATATCCATCAATTACACGTCTATTCATTCAGAAGTTTATTTACCATGTGTTTTATGCCAAGCCCTGGCCTAAGCGTTGAATGGCATAAAGACAATAGAACACAAACCTCTTCCCCATTGTGCTCTCAGTCCAGGTTGGGAGATACCATGTATTAATAGATAACTCTAATCACAGGCCACGGAGAATTCGGAGTGATTGCATAGACAGATACTCAGTGAACAGTAGGTAATAGTGCGCTTTCAGGTCAGAAAACCTGTGTATTTTCAGTTCCTATCTGTACCAGTGTACATCCTCTGGTCTAGCCAGAATCCAGGGCGGGTGAGCCCTACAGGACCAGTGGTGTGAGTAGCGAAACAGGGAGGGTAGAGGGAGAGTGGGTAGGAAAGAGGGAACCGATTATAAGGAACTATATGTGACCTCCTCCCTGGGGGACCGGCAACAGAAAAGTGGGTGAAGGGAGACGTCAGACAGGGCAAGATATGACAAAATAACAATTTATAAACTATCAAGGGCTCATGAGGGAGGGAGGAGCGGGGAGGGAGGGGAAAAAATGAGGACCTAATGCTGGGGGGTTTAAGTGGAGAGAAAATGTTTTGAGAATGATGAGGACAATAAATGTACAAATGCGCTTTACACAATTGATGTGTGTATGGATTGTGATAAGAGTTGTATGAGCCCCTAATAAAATGATTTAAAAAAAGAAAAAGAAAAGAAAACCTTGTGGCTGGGTTATAACACAAGGAGGCACTGGGATAGTTAAAGGAAAGGCGCCGGGACAAGGGTGTTCACAGAAATGTGGGGTTAAAAAGACAATTGAAAAAACTCATCTAACACTGCCCACGTGGTAAGTATAGGGGAAGTCACTGTTCACTCACCATGGAAGGTGCCCTTTCTGAAAACAGCATGTCTGACTTCCCAGAACTTAGGTGCTGCAGCATCCCAAAGCGTCCTCCTTCTCTTTGCTGGATTAGAAGCTATCACGACAACAGGTGCAACACAGCTGTTAAGTTGAAGGTCCCAGGAGTCCAATGAGGCAGAGAACCCATAGAGTTGCTGGGTGGTCAATCTCAACTCAGAGTGACACCAGGCATGTCGGAGTAGAACTGTGTAGGATTTTTAATGGCTATAACCCCCCCCCCCCGAATTAGATCATCAGGCCTTTCTTCGGAGGTACATCCAGTTGTTCTCCAATTTTCCACACTTAATTAGCAGCCAAGCATATTAACCCAAGGATTCTGACTCAGAGGCGGGAAACCACTGCCCTCACATGGATTCTGACCCATAGCAACCCTGTAGGAAAGATTAGAACTTCCCCATAGGGCATCCAAGACTTTACCTCGTTACGGGAGCAGACCAAAATCACTCTCTTCAAGTCATTCCAACTCAGATGGACTCTGTAGGACCTAGTAGAACTACGCCATTGGGTTTTCTAGATGATGAATCTTTACAGGCGTCGGAAACATCATCTTTCTCCCACAGAGAAGCTGGTGGATTTGAACTGATGACCTGGCGGTTAGCAGTCCAGGGTGTAACTCACTGAGCCATTAGGACTCCCAGTCAGAGACTAGGGTGTCCCTAATAGAGGTTTCGAGTTGAGTCCCCAGAAAAATAAACCTTCAATTATCAACAACAACAAAATTTCAGCCATAATAGTGAGCTAGCTTCCACCCACTGTCAATTTATACTGAGTAGGACACTCCTGAATTAAAGCTCCTTCAAGTGTATTAAGGCCAGCACCAGAGAAAGGAGGTCGATTCTCCCTACAACTGCTTGGCTGCTTCACAGAACGTCCTATCCTGGAGTTGACTGCACTATGTCAGATCATATCCAGGAGAATCCTGGCCCACCCTAGTTGAAATAAAACCCATCACAAGCCTGAATTACATTTCCAGAGACTCTGATGCTTTTTTTAAGTATATGAGGTCAGATTTCCTTTGGCCCCTTCATGAATATGCCCATATTCATGAACTACTTTGCATGCTTTAAGGTTTACCTATTTAACCAGTTAGGCCTCTTAAACGGAAAACTGCCAGCCAAGCTTTTTCTCCTGGACACCCAAGTGGATTTGAAATGAAACTCACCACTCAGACAGTTCCCGAGTTCTGCTCATGCCACACGCCACGCAGAGGAGACAGAAATGTCCTAAGACTTGGGCTTGTCTCCCGGGAGTTTGCTTCTTACTTTATGAGTAGAAGCATGGCTGATCCAAATCACAGGAAACTTGCTTTTCCTGCTGTGCCCTCAGTGGAGATCCTTAGCCTGCAAGGAATCAGGCACCTTACAGAGGGGTATGTAGTGGAGAAACACCACGCATGGCGGCTTATGGGAGTAGGTTCCGTGATGCAACATTCTTCAGTTGCCTCGGGATGAGTTTCTGAGGACCAGTGCCAAGGCTGCTGGGAGCTCATCATAGGCCCAGGTGTGAAGGTGTGCCGGATTGGATCACAGCTTTGCATATGATGCTCCCAGTTTCGACACACTGTATTCCTTTCTCAGAGACGGAAGATGTCTCCAAGAAACATGAGCGCACTCGATTCTTGTCTAATGCCAGCCAGAGCAGGGTGGCACCGCTCACTGACTCATGCAGGGCTAACAGTGACCAGAACCCAAGTGACTTGGCAAGCTTCCTAGCCCCTTTCTTTCTCTAGCAATCTGAGCAAACAATAGTTCTCAGGGTCTTGTTTGAGGTCCTATAGTCTAAGACAGGAGTCCCGGTGGTCCTGGTGGTGGGCTAGGCATGGGACTGTTAATGACAGGGTCATCACGTCAAACCAGTCGCGGACTCTGGAGCAGAAACATGAGGCTGTATGTTCCTATAAGGGTTGCCCATCTCAGAGACTGCTATGGAACAGTTCTACTCTGTTGTCTGTGGGGCCACTGGGAGTCAGAGTCCAGCCGATGGCACTGTGTTTGTTTTTAACAGTCGGAGACTGCTTCTGGCAGTGACAAGATTTGCATCCATGTGCCTATGAGGTATACTGAGAAGAGAAACAATCGGCTGGGAACTGGGGGCAATGTGTGAACTTTCGGTTACACACTGGGTCACCTTGGAAGATCTTAGGAACAGTAATGAACATCTAAGTAAAATTTCTGTTACCCAACCCCCACTCCAAAAAAACACACAGAACAACAACAACAACGAAACAAGACCAAAAAAAACCATGTTTCTTTAATTCTCTCAAGTTTTCAGATGGGAGGTTTTAAATGATTAGCCACCATCGCACTACCCCCTGGGGAAGCCCGGTGGCATAGTGGTTACGAGTTGGGCAGCTAACCATATGGTCAGCAGTTCAAATCCTCCAGCCACTCAGAGGGAGAAAGACAAGCTTTCTATTTCTGTAAAGAGTTACAGTCTCAGAATCGCACCAGGGTCACTCTAGGGTCCTGTAGGGTCTCCATGAGTCAGAATTGACTGGGTGGCAGCGAACGAGCGCTGGACCCAACGACTTGCTGGGTAGTGGCAGAGCTGGGCCTGGAAGAGTCTTCTCTCTGCGATTGCGTGTCTTCTCCATCAAAAAATAAAAGTTGCTTCTCCCCCGAAAAGCCCTCAGTATAGGTGTGGCAAACTAAATATCATAACACCGTAGATGCTTGATCACTGTGTAGAACATTACAACTATCTCCTTAGCAGAACTAAGAGATGCATGCAGCCCAGTGAAGGTAATATTCTTATGTTCTTATCAAGAAATGGTGGCAGAATACCT